GGTTTGACTTGTCTGCTGTTTGGGTCGATAAGCACTTTTTTCTCTATTCTTCTAAACCAAAAAGGTGTTTTTCTAGAAGCTTTTTGTCTTTTGCATTTTTTGATTTGTTTCTATGCAAGCATCTTATCTTCTATACTGTCTAGAACCTGCTTGAGTGCCATGATACCTATCTCTTTTTTTTGTAGAAAACTCTCTATTTCTTTCCTCTCTAGAAGATTGATGGTTTCTGTATATACTTCTACTAGCTTTAGATTTTCTTCACATTTCTTCAATCTTATACTTAGATTCATTTTCTTGGCCCCATACAGGATTTTATAAGCAAAATTATGTTTAAAGTAAAACTTTCTTTTGTCTAGTAAGCTCAATGCTTGTTATACACTTTGTGCTTTTGTAGTCTATCTGTGCTTGTTGGATTCTAATTCAGGTTGCTCTGCCAATCTCACTGTTATTATTAATTCTTTTTCTTAGCTCTGTTATGTGATGTGCTATCTGGTTTTGCAAATTGTTCTAAAGCCTACTATGTTTCTGTAAGCAAGGATTGTATTTGCCATTGTGCTTGCTAAAGGTTTTTTTTTTTGTTTTTAGTATGCAAAGATCTTTGTTATTTTATTAATTTTGATCTATATAAAGAGGTTCAAATTTGCATAACTTAAATATATATCAGCAAAATATATAAATGTAATCTTATATAATTTATTATGAACTGAAATCTTGTACAAAAATTTTAAAACAACATGGAATCTTTTACAATTATCAATTATGAAATTTTACAAAGAATTAATCTAACTATAACCAGTGGTGATTATCACCAAAGTGCCTATATCTCAAAAATATACTAAGTAAACAGGATCGGGTTTTCTAAGTAAAAATGTTCAGAACTCCCAAAAACTTTATAAAAACTAAAATTGGGTTTTATTAGACCCTTATAGTAGTTCTATATTATATTATATAAAAAATAATAATTCTCTAATTTCTAACTCTAATTCTAAATATATTTAGAGGTAATAACAATTATTATATGTTATTTTAATTATATCTCTATTACAAAATACATATGTAATAAATTACACAATATTAATTCGAAATAATTTACAATTATATACAATAAATAGATATAAATAGTGATATAAATAACAAACCTTTTATATTAAATATACGAAAATGGTAAAATTGCACTATTTTGGTTTATTAAATATAATAAATATAATTCAAAATGTTTTGAAATATTTAATTGATAATTTTCCAGTCAACTAGTGCATGATCTTAGTAAAATGTAACTCAAATTACTATATAAATTTACCATAGTGCCAAGATAAACTTTTTTTATACTAAGTTAATTATCTTTCTTGCTTAAGAGACTTTTGTAAAGCTTGTCAAGACGCATCTAATGGTAGTTAGAGCGTCAAAAATTTTATTAAATTTAATAAGATAATTGGCAAGATATTTAAGCCTAAAGTCAAGAAAATTTTTACTTAGAAAAAATTTGGTCCTTTTCTATTGACTCATCTCCATATGTAGATATTATTTCTGTTATATAATTTTTAGCAGCTAAGTATAGGCTATAATAGTGTTTTCAGAGTTGCATGTTTTTTTTTTATATTGTTACAAAGCAGATTATAACACAACGTAATATTAGTATAGCATAGTATAGATTATAGTTTATTATTTGTATATTTAGTATTAGTTATTATTATAGTTATATTTATTAGCATAGTATTATTATCTTATTATTGTATTAGTTATAGAAATATTATTGGCTAGTTATATGGCACAGTAATACTGTATAAGTGCCTCCAAGTGCCTTTGCACAAGTGCCTCTAAGTGCCTCTGCACGAGTGCCTCTAAGTGCCTCTGTATAAGTGCCTCTAAGTGCCTCTACACAAGTGCCTCTAAGTGCCTCTGTACGAGTGCCTCTGAGTGCCTCTTATATGGTTTAGCCGTTACACCTCTTATGTATAGAAAAGTTATAAAAAGGGAGCCTTTGTCCCTTCTACTCAAGTCAAAGAGAATTTCCTACTCTCTCATAGTATCTAGCCTACCTTCTTACTGTTCTTATCTTGTATAAGTGATATACTCTCTCTAGGATAATCCTAGTAGGTGAAGTTATCATCCTTGACTTATAATAAATAAAGTATTAACTTATATACTGATCTCATGCCAAACCGTTTGCCTCCTGCTAGTAGAAGTAGTGCATATTCCACTTCCACCCTGTGTACACCCCAATAGTAGGGTCCCTGCACCGGGTGACCTTGTTACCTTGCTACGTGGTGACCAAGAAGGCCATAGCATTGTAACAATATATTTTCTTTTTTGAAACTGGGGGTTTTTTTTTCTGATCTTTTTTATAAATTTTATTTTTAAAATTTCTCATTTTTGTTTTGTGCTTCTTGAGAATAAGAAAGAATTAGAAGAGAAAAAGCAGTCTTGATAATACTAACTAAAGATAGTTATTTTTATTATAGAGATAAGAAACCAAAAGAAGGTAAAAAGCAATTATAGCAAGTTATATTTAGATACTTTGATATCAAGTAAGTCTTTATTTAAAAAAAGAAGTTTGATATTGTACAAACTAGTATTAAGTTAAATTATAGTATAAATTTATGCTATTCTTTGTTAATGAAGGCAAAACCACTTAATAAAAAAAAAAAATATATATATATATATATATAAAATAACTATACTATTCAAAAATTATATTATTTAGAGAAATTGCATAATCAAAATTGCCAACAAGCTATTAATATATATATACCTGTGTTTATACATTAGTGTAAAATTTTTTTTTTGTGAAAACTTTATTGTAAAAAAAAAAAAAAAATTTGTTAATCAATAAATTACTTAAAAATACAGTATTAAAGCTTATATGGTTGGCTCTAATAAAAAGTGAATAAAATTTATATTAAAGCCAATATAACTTTATACAGTATAATACTCAGATCCTACATACAGTATACAGGCTATTAGTTTACTAAATATCACTTTTAAACTAATAGATTTTTTACTCAGTCAACTTTTCTCGATGATCACTTGTATCAAATTTTTTATAAACAAAAATTTCTAAAAAAACTTATTCGTAGTTGTAAATATGTGAAGAAAAGGCGAATATCCACAAGTTAGCACCTGTTATTTTGAGATAGTTCTCATACGCTATTTGCTAACTAGTTTAGAGTTTATCATTCACCGCAGAAACGGCACTTGTCATTTAGAAGTAGTTCTTATACGCTATTTGCCGACAAGCTCAGAGTTTATCACTTACTAGTGCAAAAAGCTATCTGTACTTCTCTCCCCCTCAAGTTAGAGTATATACTTTAGATTAAAGAAAATAAACACTCTTTAAAAAAAGGCTCAAGTGACTCTTTTATCACCTTCTCTGCTTCCCTGCCGTCTCTTTAAAATTTTTGATAAAAAGTAGGAATTTGGTTTACCTTCTCCAAAAGATCGGCATTATTTACTTTCCAAATTCAGATAAGTATAGTAGATTGCAACCACATGTCTTGTTTATTTATGGATACGGTGCTACTTTACGTAACCAGGATCGAGGTCTCCAGCTAAAATATCCAAGGATAGTCAGAAAGAAAAATATATGTTAAGGCAGAGCTTTACAACAGAGATATACAAACATTGCATTTGTTATATAATTTTTTTTTAAGCTTGACATGGGCTATAATAGTGTATTTTTAATGGCCCTGAAGTTTTTTAGTAGTGGTATCATCTAGTCTTTTAGTCTTTTTTTTTTAGTTTAGGTCTTTATGTTAGACTAGTCTTCTTGCTTATTATGTGGTTTTTTTTCTTTTTTGTTTTTCTTATCCATTGTTCTTAATCAATTATTTTTTTCTTTTTTTTGTATTACTCGTTTTCTTGGCTTTTAGTTTTTTTGTTTTACCCCCCTCTTCTTATCTTACCCTTAGTAAATTCCTGACGATCTAGAGGAATATGAAGAAGAGAGAAAACCATTATGGTGTGGCAATTAGGCTAGTTTAACATAAGCCTTCTAATTATAAAATTTTAGATTAGTGCGGTAGGTTGCACTTGGGTGTCTATAAAATAGTCAGATCTTTAAAGAAAGCTAGGTGATGTCAGACTTGCAAATTAGGAGTAAACAAATATATTTTTAGATGTATTTAGAATCTTAATAAAGTACTGGCGAAGCTGCCTAAGAGTCAAAAAAAAAAAAAAAAAAAGTATACAGCTATCTATTACTAACAATTATTAAAAATTTGCTTCATCGATATATGAATTAATTTTAGTTTTAATATTTATGTAAACTTGATTTACAGTTTGTTTTTGTGATGGGAAGCAGCAATTTTAAAAAAAATCAGAATTGTCAAAAATGTGTAGTGCCTCAAAATCAATGCTGGTGAAATAGTGGTAAAATAATTTCATCACTATTGGTGAAATTGGTGAACCTAATTTTACCATCTCTATTTGATATCAGCATCTCACGCAGACACATCTCCAGTTTTAATTGCCTTGCAAAGAAGTTTAATACTTTCTGGTCGTGGTTCAAAACTGGAAATCAGGCATGATTCTTTCCACGTCAAAAGTAATTCATTTATCAGGTTAATCAACGATGAAGGATGGTATCGATTTTCATTAAAGGTTTTTACTTTTCTAAAAATTATTAGGCACTCCTACTAGAATTTCAAAGTTTTATTTGAATGTGAAAAGCTTTCACTTTTATAATTATTTCATACATATTCGATTAACCATTAGATAACATACCGCTTTTATTCAACTTATCCTGTCTAGTCATTAAATCACTTAATTTTTTAACTCGAAAATGAAAATAACGAAGTTTAATAATTTATAGCCTTGATTTAACAAATTTAATTAGTTTTTGAGTTGACACTATTGACCAAAAAATGAGACATATATTTGGGTTGATAATTATCCCAAATGAAGTAGAAATCATGATCTCAAATCCAAATCTAAACTATGTAGTGATGCCACAATTCGAAGGAAAGGTTTTAGGCCACAACTCTAGCGGGGCCAAAATGAATCTATTGCCCTCGTTTTCTATATTAGTATAAGATATGAAATTTATAATGAGTGTCAAATTGATCAAAATACGCAAACTTTTACTTATGTAATTATATAATTAATATTGTCAAATCAAACCTTGGTGCACATCGAATAATATCATCAACACGTAAAATCATTTCCGCAGCTTCTGATGCGCTAAGTAATACTTGTCGTTTAAGTTTGTATGACTCTGTAATTCCAATTTCTCGCATGTCTCCAATAGTATTGTTCGCCATATCTTCCAAAATTACCCAGAAAAGATTGTTAATACAAATTCAGAATCGAGTTATAAATATTCAAGCTTACCTAGTCCATATGTAGACTTTCCTTCATAATGCGCTGCACGCAATCTGGCAACAAGATCTGCACTATCATAACCAGCATTATCAGCCAAAATAGTGGGAATCTATCATATAAATCATATATGAGAGAATGAAGCTGTTTCTTTTTTTTTTGAAAATTTAATTGTTAAAAGATAAAAGGTTTATTTACCTGCCTCAAAGCCTTTGCGAAAGATTCCACAGCAATCGCTTTCTTACCAGCCGTTGTCTTAGCTTTTTCCTCAACCGCTTTAGACATAAGCATTTCAGAACAACCACCACCAAGCACCGTACGTGTTTCTTTTACAGTCTGTGTCAATACACTCAATGCATCGTGTAAAGATCTCTCAGCTTCGTCTAATAATTGGTTCGTAGCCCCACGTAACACAATAGTACAAGCTTCTCCAGCAGCAACACCAGAGAATTTGATTAGCTAGATAATAAACATTTTTTATGATTCAGCTATATTAATTACGTGGGTGTAAGATCAATTATTTTAAATAACATACCTTGTCTTCTCCAATAATAACTTCTTCAATAAGGTCACAATACCCCAATTTTACAAGTTCTGGGTGATCAAATGTAGATGCAATTTCACCGCCTAATTGAAGTTGACAGAACCGTTAAACTGAATGAACCAAAAAATTTTTTTACACATATAATCAAGTAGAATTACCCGTTACTAGAGCTAATCTTTCGATACCATCAAAGTCAGCATGCTCGATAGACATAATACCAGAATCAGCAAAGAGTTGCTCTGGCCAATTATAGATCAGTTGGCGGTTAACAAAACAATTAATTCCATGGGCCTTTATTTTTTCAACCTTTTCCTTCATTTTATCCTATTTTTTTAATTATAAAATAATTAATATATATATTATCCATACAAAGTTAACATCATAATTTTTCAAAAAACTATGTCATACCCGCTCTGCTCTTTCAAGTTCGGCTAATTTACCAGTAGCATCTACACGAACGCGAGCACCAAAAATCTTAATTTTATCGGTATCCATTGCTAAATATTATAAGTTTAATTAATAAATGAATCACACAATTGTAAAATATATAAAAATTGTAACTTTAAAAAGTATTTACGTGTATTAGCAACCAAAATTTTGGCCTTTTCAATTCTTTTCGGTTGATTAACTCCAATTTTTTTGTCTAAAATAAAGCCTATTAATTAAATAGTAATTAGTTGAATGAGATTCGAATTTATATATCAGCTTTATAGATCTGAATAATAATATATACTTTCCTTCATCAAGATATGAATCGATTAGCCTACCACCAACTTTCTTTATGATTTGTATATGTTCAAGATTTGTGCTGCCCTACAAAACATACGCGACAAATCATTAACTCCGATTATTTCAAGTAATAAGTCATTTATTATAAATGACATACTTTCAGTCTTAAAACAGCGTCAACAGCAAGGTTAGCAAAATAGCCTTTATCTTGTGATAAAACCTTTGAACTCAATGTTGTACGAGCAATATTGATCAGATCTTTTCGAAATGCTTCCGGATTAGCTCTATAAATAAAAATAAAATTTAGTATTTATTAAAAGAAAACTGGAAATATGTAAAATAGTACTTAAACCCACCCATTATCGACAGCAGATTCTTCTAAAGCTTTATATGCTGCAGCACTAGCGATACGATATCCATCAATAACAGTTTGAGGATGAATTTTTTGATTGACAAGTTTCTCAGCTTCACGTAATAATTCTGCTGCGAGTACACAAACAGTTGTTGTTCCATCACCAACTTCATCATCTTGAACCTTTGATATATCTGTGACAATGAGATCAATTTAGGATAACATACTACATGTAGTGTTAATATACTAATATTGTATGATGATAATAAATCCGTCATGCAAATCAATTGACGAAAACTTCAAATCTAAAAGGATACTGACAAGAACTTTAGCTGCTGCGTTATCAAGGGCGATGCTTTTAAGAATCGTAGCCCCATCATTTGTAACTATAATATCACCTTTGCTTGCCGATTGAAGAATTTTATCCTATTTGTCAAAAAATAAGAAAATATTGAAGTTCATTTGACGGATCAAGGTAATACCAAATCTTATAGGGCAAACCTGTTCCAGGTGAATTCTTCATACCATTCCCTTAGGCCCTAATGTACTCTTAACCAAATCTCCAACGGCAATGGCACCAACGAATGAAGACTAAACGGATTTGCTGGCTTAATATTTAGAATAGTTCTGAAAATAGCCTTAATAAAATTTATGACATACCAAACGCGCGTTTTCTGCGCGTTCTTCCGTTGCCTCATCTTGAAAGATCTGTATAGGTGCTAGAGACTTAAAGTCACGAGAGAATTAAATACTTATTGGATTATATAAACGTAAACTAAATACGAAAATAAGCATTAAATGCAAACCATGATCAAAACGAAGAAGAGAGAGTATGTCAATCTAATAACCAGACAGGATTTTACATCTACATTTTGGTATTCCAACTACAGGATCGATTTTACTATCACATGATTTTCCGACACCGAGGATGTAATCTATAGATCTTAACCTAGATGATGTCTCTTTGATATTTGCAATAAGCAAAAAAATAAAAATAATAACTTTGCAATAATCAACATATTATGTGCGAATTATTATTTGACCAGCAAAAATTTTGAAAAAAATCGACACAGCTGAACTAAAAATTAACTTTGAATAGATGTTATTTCTTTCCATAGGTGGTTCAAACCATGATCTTGTTCAAGATACGATGGAGGCTCAACGATAACACATGACTTTTTTTTCAGCACTTGAAACTCGTTCAACAATGTTCTTTATAAATTACGAAATTATTATTTATTTATCAAAGTTCGGAAGTATTAAAAAAACTTTTAAAATTTTTTTGGTTATCATGTAAAAATCAAAATCATATTTTTGATATATTCAGATTCAGCACTATATATTTTATTAGATTTATGTCTGTATGTGTAGCTATACATTCCAATATATATACCACTTTATTATACCCAGTACAATTTGGTTTGCGCTCAGCCAATGGTTCACTTTGCTCACCCTGTAGCCGCTCGCTACGGCTGTCGCCTCCGTTTCGCTCCTTTTTCCTAAACGCTTAACATTAATCTCAGTTCTAATCCTAACCTTAAACCAACTTCCTAACGCTAGAACCCAACTACAACTTACAAAGCTAAAAATTCAACACGAAAAACCTAATATTACATACAGTGCGTGAATTATGCCAATAGAATGCCAATAGAATGCCACGTCACAAAATATTCAAATTAACGCCTATTCAAGATACCAACGTCGTAGTGAATCACACCAGTATAGAGTTTGGGTCACCCGTGTAACTTTGAAATCGGTTAGTATAGGGTAGCAATAAAAAGTTAGAATAATTATTCAAAGTCGAACTTTGAATGATAATTATAATGAACTTAGCACATATTAGAAGTTGTTTAATGTTCTCGGCATCTCTTAGCATTATCATCGTTACGATCTTAATAATTCTGCATAAATCAGCGTAATGACACCCATTTCTGGAAAAATTTGGACAGCACCTGTTGTTTTTCGGTTGACTATCCCTAACACTATAATTTACACTAATTAAGCAGGAGAACGAAGCATACGAACGGCTGAATATTTGTCAAAAAAAAAAAACTTTCATATGCATATAATAATAATAATTAACAACTAATTTTATATCAATTTGTCGATTTGCAATTGCTAAATGAATTGTACAGACTGCTGTTCTAACCGGATGAACCGACCAACCGCGGTTGACCGATTTTGCTTGACCCGGTTCCGAACTCTATTCAGAATAAACCAAAGTTAGGTTTATTTGGCTAAATTAACCCGGAATAGGCTCAGATTGGGTTCAAATAAACCCGAAGTGGGCTCATTTGAACTCGAAGTGGGTTCAAATTAACCCGAATGGGCTCATTTGAATCCAAAATAGACGCATGTCTTATTTAAAGAATTGGGAATCAGAATATTAGGACTATCATATATCAGAAATGACAGATTATCGGAAATTAGTTTTGACAGGGTGGACTGTATATACAGTATAAAAAGTTAAATTTGATCACTAAAAATTTATTGGTTGGGACTAGGCAATTCACACTCTGTATGGTTTTATACAGTCAGACCTCCTTAAATGCATATTCTCAAAATGCATAGTCTATAAAAGACCTCTCTAAATGCATGGCCTTGTTTGACCAACTCCTATGACACTTATATATTTTCACCTCCTTAAATGCAATACCTCTAATGCAAAATGCATTTAGAGAAGTCTGACTATATTAAAAAAATGCTTTTACATTAGCTGTTAGCTAAGTTGAGTATCACTACATTAATGTGCCATATAACAACAATATAATTTGTTTGAATTGAATTTATAATGAATTTATTTAATAAATAAAAGTTCCTTCTATCAAAATAATTTATCAAAATAATTTTCACTCAATTATTTTGAAACAAAGAATACATGGAAAAGTCTTTTAAAATGCAGATAAATTATCGTACATGTTAACGAATACATAAAAAAATAATAAACTTGTTATTTTTATACAGTATTTATGGTTTAAAAAACATGTTCATTTAACAAATGCTCAATAACTTGCCATCCTGCAGCATTAACCCATTTCCTTCTCACAATTACATGTGTATGAGCCTCTCCTTCAAGTTGTACGAAAACTTTACGCCATGACATATCTTTATGCCATTCTCTAGCGATTTGTTCTTCTATAGTAATATCCATTTCCTCATTGGGTGGTGGGATGTCTTCAGGGTTAATTACTTTATCATATAAAATTGGGGATGACCCCATACATTTGGAAAGATAATCATTCGTAATGTCAAGAGGACTAAGAGAAACTAAAACATGTCTCAAGTGATCATTTATAGTATATTTGAATGATATTTCTTCATCATAATCATGAAAGTAAAGTGAAGAAGTTCTGAAAGAAACCACCAAATCATTTGCGGTATTTGCATACAAAGTACGATTATGGAATTTGGAAACTGCAATATGAGATGGTGACGTTGGTTGCGCAAGAGCTAATAATAAAGGTTGTTCTTCACCAGTGTCTTCTTGTACAGCCCCCCTTGCTTTTTCTTGCTCTTCTCTAGATCGAGCAATTAAGGCTAAATCTTTACCGGTTTGCCCAACCACACCTAATTGAAGTCCAATCTTTATATACCATGATAAATCAGTAGATCCGAGCCAAGGTGTAGCGATGGTAATGAAATGAATTGGTTGAATATGATTAAAAAACGCACCGTTTGTGACACTATGTAGATATCCTGCTAGAAATGTATTTATTAAACCGCCCAAAGAATGGCCAATTAAAGAAATTTTTGAAATTAAAGGCTTATCTTTAAAATCACTTTCATCACTATCATCACTATCAATATTATCTCTAGAATCATTTTCATTATGAATATTATCTTTGTTTAGATTCGATGGCCATTTGATATATTTCAAGAGTTCTTTGGCTAATCTTTCGCCACATGCTTCAATACCATCTTCAGTATAAGAATGATTCACATCAGACATAAAAAAAACGATTGAATCAGTTTTTCGATCAATACATTTATTTTCAAGAGCTTCCTTCAAGTATAATTCATCAAGCATTGATCCATGAATTCCATGAGTTAATACCACAAGATGAATATCTCTAGTTGAAAAAGTAGTAAGATCCGGTAATTTAAAGATATCATACGGCTTTAAAAATTCATATTGTATTGATGGTGAATAGACAGTTGTTGTACCATCTTGACTGGCAATCGCTTCTCCGTCAAATATTTGAAGTTCATCATCGATGGTCGCCCCTTCAGGTACACAAGCAAATATACTGACATTATATTTCACTTTATTAAGAGAGAACAAAATTTCGCACATTATATCGATGGTCCAGTCACCGATGCCATTTGAAGGAACAGCGAGCTCTACCTGCCAAACTTCACCACATTTGATACTAGGATTCAAGTTTGGAGTAAAAAAATTATCAGTGGTGAGTAAGTTTAGCCTATTAGCATGCACAGTTTCAATACAAGAAGCTGATATGCTATAAGGGCCACTTAAGAAAGCACCACGGTATAAGATTGAAGTCTCGTTAGTAATTTTAACTACAAGATTCGAAGGAGGCCAAGCAGTACTAGAAGGATGCTTTGTACTATCAAACTGAATTCTGTATCGGGTTATTTCACCAACAGTAATCTCGAAAGTAGAATTCCATAATTGAATTAAGTTTATTGATGAGTCCTGCATTTTTTTTTTTTATATTTAATTTTTTTTATCCTTTTAATTTTTTTAATTTTTTTTAAACCGTATATTTAGACGAGGCATCTCGAGATTCTCTGTTACACCAATCAGATTGAAAGATTAACAGTTATATGAAATAACAAATACGTAAGATATCGATATATAACGTTTTTTTGTAGCCAATCAAAAATCTAAACTGCAAAAAATCGATACTTACGTAAAATACTGTAATTGTACTGTACGTAAAAACTTTTTTGACTACTTAAATTAACGTTAACTTTGTATGGCCTAATTTATATAATAAAGTTTTATTGTAATATACGTATACTGTATATATCTCTCATAATTCTCACGTTCTTTGTATAATAATAAATTTACAAATTTTTACATTTTCTAACACAATTTTAATAATTTAACAGCTATTAAAATTAAAAAATTACTTTTATAACTTTGTTTAGTAATTTAAAAAAAAAAAAAAAGTTTATTATATTATTAAAGATCATAAAGTTACAAGAAACTTAATGTCTCCAAACTAGTATATGTAATCATGTAAATCGTTATATACGGACATATAACAGTATAAAATTACAGTACAAAATTTTTTCAAGTTTATATTATGAACAAATAATAGTATAATAAAGTACACATAACTGTAAAAAATAACTAGTAATATTTTTTAAATTATATAAAATAAATTAATCGTCATGAAAAACGATTATACCGAGCAATATACCTGCACCCAAGAAAATGAAACTTATAAATAACCAAATTACACCCCAAAATTGTGCAGGACAGCAGCCACTAAGTTTAGCAAATTTGCTTGCATCAGATTCGTTGACCTTCCGGAATACTAATTTAAAAATAATTCGAATTAACATCAAATAACATTAATAAGCAAATGTGTAAAAAGAATGAAGATATATTTACCCAAGTCATCCATTATATCCCATAGTGAATAAAGACATGACATAACACTAATTTAATTAAAATTTAATGCATGAATTAGTAAATTAAAGATAATAGTAACGAAAAAAGAGAAGGTAAAAAAAAAAAAAACGTACCCAACAAATAACACAAAATAGACCACTCCTTCACCATCTTTAACAACCCATAAAACTACAATAACTAATATAAAAAAAATAGTAATGACTCTAGATGGCCACCAATTCCTGGCCCAAAATAAAAGGATAATTAGTAATACTCCAAGAACTATCGAAGCAACTTTCGACGCAACGACATTGAACCCACAAAATACTAGTAACGCTCCTATAAGTGATGATCCCAGATAGCCTAAATATATATAATTAAATATTATTATTATTATATATATATTTGTTTATTTAAACAAAAAAAAAAAAGTAAATGCAAAATATCGGGTTTTAGAAGATTTACCAGCTGGTAAAGTACAGCATTGAATTCCGCCTCGCTGATATAATTACGAAATTAAAATAATTAATTAATTAAATTACAAAAGATAATTTGAATGATAAAGTGTAAATTGATATATACCATACGAGTAACGCCACCTTCATCAGGATCAAGTTCTATTCCTTCGATCTTTGCTCCGGTACAGCATCCAACAGCAGCATGCGACCATTCATGTAATCCAACAGTCAATAACTGTTCAAACAAATATTATATTAAATTGAGACATTCATTTTTAATTTAAAGTTACGCGTATGAAAAAAGTTACCTTGAAAGGATACAAAATATAATTTAATATGGGCATTTTCCAAAGAATCAATATCACAAGTATATAAATCCCAATAATTATTAAAGTACGTTTCTCTTTATCCGACGGGGATAAGCGAGTATGTATGTCTTGGCCTATATCCCGCTCAACCAAAGTACTTTCGAGTTCGAATAGCGCCGGCATTCTTACGGTATATTCGGGTAATAAATTACTATTTAATAATTCTATATACTTTATTTGTAGTTTTTCTTTACTTTACTCGAAAGAAAGAACGTAAAAGAAACTATTGTAAAAGAAATTCTATAAAGAAGATAGTTTCGTTACTCGTTTACGTTAACAGTTAAAACAAAGTGCTATATATTATATTTAATATATATGACACTAACTTTAAATGAAAAAATATATTTGTCGATCACGGGGCTTATATTCACCTAAAAATAGTTTGATGTTATATAAATAAATCAATCAAAAATCTGCTATTATAAAAATGAATCAATTATTATGTTGGCAGTTTCCTTATTTTTATAATCAGCGCCCAAAACCCAAGCCTTTAAAAATATACATTGAAAAAAACAATAACAAAATGTTAATCTCGTGAATTTATGGAATTTATGATATCAAACATGTATGTTTCAAGTAAACCACATTTATTAGTGACCTTTAATTTATTAGTGGCCTTTTTTTTTTTTGCAATGATGTAAAAATTTGTTCGACTTTTTAAGAAAATTTTTAATATATATATATATATATATATATATATAAAATTAAATTCTATTTCTATCTTACTATATAATTGTACGTATATTAAATATTTACCCTACAATCTATACATAACTCGAATTCACAACCTAAGATTATTTACTCCAATTATCGTTATTAATATTATGCCCAAAAATTAAATTAAATACATCTTTTTTTTTTTTTAATTTTCAGAAACTTTAGAAGTATTTTCTGGTTTTCCGTATAAATAAGTAGAAATAATGACAATAACGGCACCAATCATGAATTGTGAAGTCGGATGAAAATCAAACCAATAAAAGCTTATGATCCCTGAAATTATAATTGATAATGAAGTTGCAAATCCCTTTAAAATACTATCAGCGTATTTTACCACAATTGCTACTAAAAGACCACCTAATGCTTGATTAGCTATTACAGCATAAGTAAGGGAATCATAACCTTGCAAGAATCCACCATCCCATATTGAATAGGAATCGTAACATATCATGCCAATAAGAGAAAATAAGGAACCACTAATTCCTAATTGAATATTTCGAATCCACATACTTGTTTCAGTCCTTTTTAAAATTTTTTCAAAGTAACAACCAGCAAATCCTGATGAAACACATGAAATTATAACTGCAAATAGTCCTATTAATGGATTTTGAGCTAAGAGTATTTGTGCAGCAACTGTGGCAGCTGTTGGTTCTTTTTCAAAATTATCATCACTTAAAACTTTAGTCGAAGATTTCACAGGACTAACAGTCTGTAATTGTACAAGTGTTACTCCAATCATTAAAAGAACTAAAGCAAACCATTTAAAGTGTGTAATCTTTCGTTCTAAAAGTACGACAGAAAATATCGCAGTTGAAAGGATCTTCATCTGGTAAGTAACTTGAAATGTGGCTGCTTCAAGATTTGATAATGCCACATATAATAAATTATTTTGTAAAGCGTATAATGCTGATGGAATGAATAATATAAATGTTTCTTTTGGTTGTCCAATTATTTCCTTTTGCACTACATACCAAAATCTTCCAAATGATTTTTTTTGAAATAAAAGTACACCAAGACATGCAATTATTTTTACAACTTCTGCTAAATACACGGCAGTAGATGCTATATACATGTTTTCACCAGGTATTTGTCGAATTCTAGAATATCGCATCATTAAAGCCAGTGACGCATTTTGAATTACAAGAATGATTAACGATAATTGTTTTCGCGTGAGTCCTAATATTCGTGTTTCTAACGATCGAAAAAAAATTATATTAGTGTATAGATACTATTCATGAATTATATATAAAAATTTGAAATATATATATATATAATTCCAAAATTTTAATCTAAACAACACCATCCACTTAAATCTATTATGAAGCTTACCTCGCGGTATCATTTTGTGGTTTGAATTGGTTATAGGTAGAAGTACCTCCTTCTCTGTTATTAGTTGTGGTGGACTCATTTTGAGATCTTTATTATAATTTAAATGCCTTATAAGAGGGTATAATATGAGTTTTTATTTCGTGATGACCTCAAGTGAAGACCGTTCGCAATCCAAGCGATTTTCAGAGTAGATTTAACCACGAATTTTTTTTTTCCAAAAAAAAAAAAAGGGTTATATAATTATATCCACATTGTCCTTATTTGTACTAGCATGATATGTAATGTATTTTAATGTATTTGTAGTTTCTTATCGAGCGTTATGAATTCGAAATTTTATATTATATAATATTTTATATGTAAGCAGCTATTATTTAAAAAGGAAACCGTTTTTCAAATAGAACCAAACACAAAAAATAAACAAAAAATACTAAACTAAATTAACTCATATCGGTATTACAATATAAATTTCCATAGATACAATATGATTACTGTATAACAGGAATGAGATTTTAAGAAACTTCTTAAGCGTCAGAAAATCCAAGAAATTTAAATACATGATTTGAATTTTTGCCAAATTCTTCAAGTTTGCATATTAAATATATTAAATATATATCATTTTTTTTATAAAAGTTCAACAATTAACTTTCATTTCTCAGGTCACACATTGTATTGACCACCAGCGAATTTTAATTAGGTTACACTTATTATCCTGTTATTGTATAAAAATATAAAATATAATGAATGAATTACTGCATACTGAATAGAGAATTTAAATGTTAATTATGATTGGTTGTTCTGCCAATGCTGTGTATCCTCTATAAAACAGTAACAACCAATAGAGTAAATCTCCAGATACATATCAATTCACATGTTTATACAACGTACTGTACGTACGTACTACATCATCGTTTCTTGGAGAACTTTAAATGGAAGCTTCTTGATAACCACCTAATCGAATTAATCGAATTAATCGAATTTCAATAAATTTATCCGAAATTTATAGAATTCATTTAAAAAAACATTTTTTCCAATTCTATCAGGTAGTCATTAAAGCCTCCGTTTCAAATGTAAATAAATTACACAGTTCTTTAGAAAAGCAAGGACTAAACCTTGAATAAAGTTTTCTCGATAATCTAATTTTACATACTGCATAATTGTATTCTTGATATTTATATAAAGCAGTAACCTCTACAGCATCAAAAAAGTACAAACATGAAATATAGCTTCGGTTTACCCCGCTTTAGCGATCCCAAATTTAGAAAAATTACACTTCGAATAAAGTTTTCCCGAGGACCATACAACCATAGTAATAATCAAGTATAGTATTTGTTTCATAGGAAGGCATTCATATAATTGGTTAATTTTTGTAGTGATTTCCATGATATTTAACCAATCAAAATACATAATTTTTTAAAAAAGGCATCCGTTAATACAAAAATAATATTATATATGGTATATATTATCTTCAAGATCTCTATTTCAATACAATGCAGTATGTAATATTACCGTTACTAGAAAACAAAAAAACTAAATGTAAAAAAGCTTACAAACTAATAAATATTCATAAAACAATTTATTACATATCAGATATGTTTAGATACCGCGTAAAGCAGGTAAACAACTAATCATTAAATAATTTACAAGATGTATAAACTGAAACTAATAAAATGGGAGATCCTCAAATACATTAAAAGAACTGACCAAATTCCAACATTAAGTAAGGCACAGTTTCTTGAGATGTGCCCTTCTTTCCAACAACGAATACAATATTCCTTGCATTCTTTGGGATTTCGTCGCAGTCTTTAAGGTAGTGTTGCTCTCCACAAAAATAACAATAGGGGGCTCCAATTACTAAAGACTTCTACCTATTTAAATCAAATAGTTAGTAACAAAAATTTATTTAAATGCCGCAACCTAATTATCCATACCTCGGTTTGGTAGTTCTGCTGCTCTTGTTGCTACGCTTGGAGATTTGCGACTTGATTTCTCAAACTCCAGATCGTGGTAAACTCCACTTTAAACTTCAGTATTTTCCGGATTTTACCAGTGGTAATCGTGTTTGTAGGCACAATATATATAGCTGACGCGTCATAGGACATTTCTAATTTTTGTAGCTACCCATGATTTCCGTGGTAATTAGCCAATCAAAATGCATAATTTTTAAGAAGAATGCGTAGCACTATAGATCCGGAGCATATCTGATATCTTAATACACAAACGCGTGAATATGCATATTATTTTGTTACACTAAATTAACAAATTTGAACACGCGTGCGGACAAAATTTTCAAAATTACGATTCTGATGTGATCTTCATAAAGTTTAGGCGGATACATCAAAAAAGCAACTTTTTTGGTCGGAATACATCAAAAACGTAATGTTTGTATCACTTAATGCATAAACGCTCCGGATCAGGGACACGTAAAAATTCTTTCAATAAATTTCGATTTTATTTATGCAAAATTTCGATAAATTTCGAAGTCAACTTCAAAAAAAATTTTTTTAATGTTTTCTCGTCCAATAATATTATTACTGTATCATCATGTGATCTTCGGTCTTTTTTTTTTGCCCAATAATATTATTTTATGTGATTTTTTATGATTTTGCCAAAAAATTTCGAGAAATTTTGATTAAATTTGGTTAAATTTCGAGAAATTTTGGCCAAATTTCAAAAAATTTCGATTTGCCCCCAAAATTTCGATTTCTTTCAAAAAATTTCTTTCGAAAAATTTACGTGTCCTTGCTTCGGATCAACTAGAAAACGAAAAGAACTTCACATAAAAAAGCCTACAAACTAATAAATGCACACAAAAAGAATTTGTTACATTTTAAAAATGGATGGATAACGCATAAATTGATCAAAAATTCAATATGCGAAAAATTATTAACGAAGGTATCTTTTAGTCTTTATTTATTACATTTTTGAAAGTAATTAAAATAATTCTATCCTATTTTTTGTCATCGCGATCTTTATTAGACGCGATGTGACCTTAGCTTATATAATTAATGAAACGATAATACTTATACGTCGATCTACTACTTAATATTTAATATATAGTATATTAATATATTAAACAGTGTACTCAAAGCTCTTTAAATTTAAAGCTTACATGTAACGCTCAATCTTTTTTGTTGCATTTAAAACTTATACATAGTTAATATAACTAGTATTAGCAGTATATAGTAAAAATATTCACTTCTAAGTGAAGTTCTTAGAGAATTTGCTTTTACGGCACATCAGCCAATGATCACGCGAAATTGGTCATATAACGTGATATGTGAGTGACTTTTTTTCTAACCAATAAAATAACAAATTACGAGTAAGTAATTTCGAACTTACTTGTAAACAATGTTAGAAAAAGAAAATCCTATAGTATTTTTTGATATATCTATTGGGGGCCAGCCGGCCGGTAGAATGAAAATAGAATTATTTGCTGATGTAGTTCCTAAAACCGCTGAAAATTTTAGGTATTATTTTCGTTTTTTTAGTTCATGCTTTGTATAGATTAAATATATACTTTTCATTATTTTTCACTATTTTTCACTATTTCATTTAGACAGTTGTGCACGGGAGAACACAAGTAAGCTGTCCTTCTTTATTTATGAATGAGTTTTAAAATTTTTACTGATCTAACGGTCAATACAGAAAAAATGGTGTACCGCAAGGTTATAAATCTGCAACTTTCCATAGGTAGGCGTCGATGATAGATCTTTATAACGAACAATTTATATATCAATTAAAAAAAAAAAATTCGTGATTTTATAGAGTAATTAAAGATTTTATGGTTCAAGGTGGCGATTTTGTAAAGGTAAAAAGGACAAATGCTTTTAACGGAAAATTGTCAGAGTTCTATTTAACAAGATCTTACAAATTAAATAATAGGCTGATGGGACTGGTTCATTTAGTATCTATGGAGAGAAATTTTCCGATGAAAATTTTGAGCTTAAGCACAATGGGCCTGGCCTTCTCTCAATGGTTAGTTAAATTATTTTAATAGGAAAATTCAATAATATATTACATTCACTTAAATTGCTTTCTTAGGCAAATAGCGGACCTAATACCAATGGATGCCAGGTATATATTCTATTTTTATATATTAAAATTTTTCTTATTATTTTATTATTACTATTATTTTGTATTAACAATCTTTTGCTAACAAAAAAAAAACTATTATATCTTCTAAGTTTTTCATAACATGCGCTAAGTGTGATTTTTTGGATGGAAAACATGTCGTTTTTGGGAAGCTCATTGATGGTTTGCTAACACTGAGGAAAATAGAAAATGTTTCGACTGGACCTGGGAATCGACCGAAACTGCCTGTAGTCATAACAGAATGTGGTCAATATTAATTATTAAAGACTTTTTTTTATAAAAAAAACAATTAATGAATTAGCGTTGTAAGTCTATATCAATGGAGTTATGCGCTAACAGTTGTGACTCTGGGCACTTATAGATAGGCAAATTAAGACAATTCTAATGGCTACATTGCTTCACTTGCTAGTCTAACAAAGAAAGGTTTTTGTAATTCATGCGTAATTACTAATCATTCGTTATAATGTCAATGTATCTATCTGCTAAAATAAATTATTTTTAATCAAGTATACAATGACCCATTAATTAATGGTTGCATTGCTACGTAGCAGCGTACCCGAGTTTTATCACCCCATTTTTCCAGAGCATTTTTGAAGATATAGCTAAGATGGAGATAAAATATAAACCATATAAATAAAGGAAATTATATTCTGCTACGTAAAAAATAGGGGATATAAGATAAAAATTTTACGTTCAAATGACCTGCATAGCACTCCTATAAAATTTTACCCGAATTCAACTTGCAGATATATCGATAAATTAAATTTTTACCGTATAAGCGCGAAATAACGCCTATGGGCGCTATTTTGAATAATGACGTGAATTAAGCTTAATCTAGGCCAAAATTCGAAATTACACCCCTAGGCGTTATTTCGGTTAGCTATCCGTTAGGCTAGGTTAGCTCTCAATATTTGACGAATTATTACTTCTGTACTTTTAAACTTTATTTTTTTTTGTCTTTAAACGCGCCAATAAAGATCGGGAACAGGTTGTTTATTAAATAAAACCGGAACATTTAATTTATTACGCCATATTGGTATTTCCTATTTAGAATATTATTACTGTTTTGTCTGCACAGGTTTTTCTAAAATGTCCAAATGACTAGTACCTTAGCCTGTTGATGAAAGCGCCCAAGAGGCTTTTAGCTTTTACTGGTTTTTTGGCGAATAAATTCTTTAACTAGCTTTTCGGCTTGCTTTAGAAAATATCCATGATAAGCAACATAGTATCTGACTATTTTATTTTATTTACCGTTTTTCCAATTCTTAAGGGGATTCGATCTATATACCGTATTTTCGCACGTTAACGCCCATGGGCGTTACTTCGAAAATCTTATAATATTGCAATGGCTTCGAAATGACGCCTACGTGCTTTTCGAAATAACGCGCATGTTAGGATCAATATAAATTAGCCAAAATGTCTTGCGATCAGCCTTTAATCACGTCATATATACTCAATAACACACAGATGGGCGAAAATACGTTCCTTTGATTAGAGTTCCAATCAGGTTAGCGTTTATTCGGATAATTAACAGATATCCGGATATCAATAGTAAACAGGTAACCGAATAAATCAGATATGGATAAACGGATGACGGATTTATCCGGATTGGAACTCTACCTTTGATAATTGTAAAAATCTGCTACTAAATCATGAATTGCAATACTTTATTATAATACTAATTCTTATTATAATATATATCAGATATATATATACATATTTAATATTAACTTATACTTTTTATTTACAGTATATACTAGCAATTGGATTTAAGCAATTTGTTAATTAGCATAAGCCAGTTACTGTACGATTTTCCGAAGGCAATTCTTCTGAAAGAACATAATACCGGCTAAATATAGCTAATGCCTGCTAATTTATCGGCATTATCTCCTTTAGGGAAAATGGCCATCAACTTGTTAGTTACATTGAATAAACCATGGTTGGTAAATACAATATTTACTTATTTATCAAATGATGACCAAAGGGATCCGATCAACTCACCGACAATCACTTCAAACCACATACCGAACCCATTTTACCGATAACTTATTTTACAGATGATTACAGCTGTTCTTATAAGTTTTGGGACAAACTAAAAATTAGTCGCTTCTCAAAATCTCTTCGGTTTCGTCCCTAACTCTTCGGAATCACGTCATTGTCTTCGGAACTTCAGTTCGGAGATAGCGATGTATTTTCTGGGGAGTTAGATGATTCATAGGACGAAACCGAAGAGATTTCGGGAAATTAGCAATTTTTAGTTTGTCCCAGAATTTATGAGAACAGCTGTAATTTACCGACAGTATATTTCACCAACAGCTCATTTCACAGACGAAGTAATTCTAGTCATTGTCGTTAGGTTTAGAGTTAGAGTTAAGGTTAGTATGATCTATAAAAAACTGTAAAAATAAGCTGCAGATGAAATATAAATGAACTTATCAGTAAATTAATCATCTGTAAAATAAGTTTGTCGGTCGTGTCGGTGAAATAATACGGATCCCCGAGTTTGACCCGGATCGTTATTTTTCGACCCGAGTAAGAACCCTACTCCAAAGTTTTGGAGAGGGTGAAGTTTTAGAACAACGGGCAAGAACATATTAATATTTATTTAGCTATTGCAATAATGATGATTTGTGTCCACTGGTTGCATATGTGGAAGCATATTGGTAATAGGTAGTAGTTGGATACTTTATTTTTTAAAAATTAAAAATAATATAGAAAGTTGGCCTAATGCTATACAAAAAAGTAAATTATGTATTATATATAAACCAGTTCCTATATTTATTATATATTTAAAGAATTGATTTTTAAATATAGAAACTAGTTACCCCATAAACAAAATTGTTTAAATTAGCTTAATTTGCAAAAAATTTGATAGATTTTACAAGAACTTATTTTAAGCAATATATTAAAAAAAAATTTAATAATTTTTATCAATATTACTAATACTGTATATTAAAGAAAAAAAAAAAATAGCCAATTATTAAACAAATCTAACAAGTAATGTTTTTTAAAAATTTATAATATATGGAGTAGAGTCAATAGAAAAGACAAATCATTTTTAGTGAAATTTTTTTTAATTTTTAAATTAAAATATCTCAATAACTAATTAATCAAATTTGCTCGAAATTTTTTTATTTTAATTTTGAAATTATAAAGAATTTAAATAAAAAAAAATTATTAAATTTGATAAAATAATTATTAAGATATTTAAGCTTAAAGTCAAGAAAACTTTTACTTAGAAAAACCGCCTTATATATATACTGTAAAATATAAAATTTTTAAAAATTTCTTACTAAAGCAATATAAAATTAATGTTTTGGTTCTCATATTATAAAAATTTTAGAAATGACCTGGCAACCTGGCTTTTAATTTTATTTTCAAAAAATTTTATATGTAAAAAACATATAAAATTTTTTTACAAAAAATTTAAAAAAGCTCACTCAGATAATAAATATAATAAAATTTTTTTTCAAAATTTTGTTAAATTTGACCTAGTTAGGTTATAAGAACCAATTAATTAAGTTTGTATAGCTTAATTTAAGTAATTATATCATTATTTAACTATAGTCACTCTCTATCTATATAATCACAAACTCTATACAATCATACAATATTTGGATACCAATTATTTTACTGTATTATTAAAAAGCTTTCTATATAATCACAAAAAGCTTATAATCACTATCACATTTTTTTTAGAATTTGTTACTTGATTTTAATAATAAAATCACTTCTTTATAATCATATTTATTTATATAGTAATTATTAAAAGTGCAGACATTTAGAATTTCGAAGGTAGATAACCTAGCAAAAAATATAGCATATTTACTGTATATATACATTTGTAGAAGTGTCAATGCTATATAAATACTACATGTCATATAAGCTTGTAAGCAAATGAATACCATATAGCTATTATTTTAATTTACACAAGTCAAATTTTAAAATTTTTATAATATTTCTGAGAGAATATCAAACATCGATATGTCTGATAGCTAACTGATTTTTGATACTTATTTTTACCTATTAGAAAGATATTGGTTTAAATAGATATATCAGATATCAAATATTTCTATCAAAAATATTGGATATCTGTTGTGTCTATTGAAATTGATATCCTTCAAATAAGTGAAAATATTCTGTTGATCTCTTTAGGAAATGTTGTAGAAATTTTAAAATTTGACCTGTGTTAGTAAGTATAAAGATGATCTATTAATCAGTGGATTAAAAAGTGTTTTATATTTACAAACACTTAATTATTACTAACTAATACTCTTTAAATTACTATCCTATTTGACTAGTGAGTATTACAATAAATTTTTAATAATATAAATAATATATAATATAGTCAAACCTTTCTAAAATCACACTGCCAAAATCATAGTGACTTTTTTTGAAAATATGCTTATAGAGAATATGTGTTTTTATAAAGATTTTTTTCTATATATTTATAATAGTTGGTTTTAAAATAGATGTGCTTATAAAAAGAATTTTTATATAATGTGCTTATATAGAGGGTGACTATAAAGAGGTTTGACTGTATTTACAATATTTAATATAGTAATTTAATTGATGATTCTCCAGTCAACTGGTACATGATCTTAGTAAAATATGACTCAGATTACTATATAAATTTACTATGATGCGAATATGGCATATATATATCTAAAA